GTATACCTTAGCTTAGATATTGATGATCATGATCGTGAGAAAGGGATAAGGGAACTTTGAATCCCATATATTATGTGTTTGATTAGGTGAAAATAAAAAATGAATATAAAATTAAATTATATTTAATGGTGATATGGTACATCTTGTCCATTAGAGAAGTGGGAATCCTGTGATACTTGGTTGGAAAATAAAAAAGAGAAAAGGGGCAAATAAACCCTCGTACTAATAAAAAAAGTGCATATAAGCCCTTTTGTAGAAGGTTCTGTCCGATCATCGTCATTTGGGGAGGTTCTTGGTGGAATTTTTTGATGAATTTTTTTGAGCATCTTCTTCGTTAAGTCTAGTTTAGCCATACCAAATTTCAGCTAAAAATTCAACCGGGAAGGCATTCAAATGATTTTCTGAACTACACTGCGTTGTTTAACTGTGCAGTTATCTTCAAAAATTCATTTGACTGTCTTCCCGATTGATTTTTTAGCTGAAATTCGGTATGACTAAACTAGACTTAATGAATAAGATGCTCAAAAAATTTCATCACAAAATTTCACCTGGAACTTCCCCAAATGACGATAGACAGATGAAACCTCCTACAAAAGGGCTTATTTTCACTTTTTTTATTAGTTCGAGGGCTTATTTGCCCTTTTCCCAATAAAAAATGGATTTAAACCAAGAAAGCAAGTGGATACAACAATTAAATGCTGAAAAATCAAACGCTGAAAAATTAAAAGTTGTAGCAATTGAAGAGTCTATATAAAGATGATAACAAATAGAGGATCTACTCATATATCTGGAGTAGCATCGTTAAATTAAACACAAGCATCGTCAAATGAATTTAACTCCGTTAACGGTAAGTCGAACGGTGAAGTTGGTAATTTAAAAGCCAATTCATATGACACACTATGATAGCACATGGTACTACACTTTAAAGCCTAACCATGACAAACCATGATCATTTAATACTAAAAACTGACCTTTATAAGATATGTTAACATTTATACATTTCATTTTAGTAAAACAATAATTAAATTATTATTAGCAATTTTTTTTGTTTTTTCCTCAATAAATATGAAATTAAGAATGCCCATATTGTTGTTAAAAAATAAAAAATCCATTAAATACTTTATTGACTTTTTTCAGTGAGTAAAATATAAAAAATTTCAAGTAAAACTCAGTTATTTGTGAAAGCTTTCACCATTAATTAAAATTTGTGTTTGTGCAGTTTTTGCCTAAAACTGTGGTAGGTGAAGTTCAGATTTTTTGAACTTTATATGTACAATATTAATGTAATGTGAAATATTATAAAAAAAAATTGAATTTTGATATACTTTTTTTTAGAAAATTAGTGCATAAATAAAAAAGGATTATTTAGACTTGGCACCCTCTTTTATACCCCTAATTTGCCTATGCACCCGAATTTTAAAATTCTTAGTATTTGTCAGTCAACCAAATAATAAAATAATGTATGTAACATTTTATTTATGTTGTACGTATATCATGCTGGCCGTATTTATCACATGTGGGTGCCGCATGAATAGGATAGCAGTTCTACAATTCCATATTCTAACTGTATTTACACCCTAAACTAACCGGGCCTGTTAGTTAGACTTCTAAAAAAACCTAAATGTCATCAATACCCTCATGGCAGCTTCATAGAACACATCCCAGGCTTCCAAGACAGCTCCCAATCCAGCCCTTTATTAACACAAAACCCATGCTACAAAACTGATTCCTGAAATTAATGAGGCCTACAAAACCGAAGATAAAACTGAAATGCACACTAATGACATAACCCAAAAGTGACTCAAATACAAATCCCAAAACAAAAAACTCAGGCCTATTGAAAAAACAGATACAACATAAAGAAAAAAGATAAGAACACAATTAAAAACTAAGAAAGAAAAAGCAGAGAATAAATTTAAATCAACAACATAAATTAAAGTATTTAACAACGTAACCCACTAATTCTTGTGTGTGGTAGTCCTCTAATTTTGTTGATTACTTACTAGTCAAAGTACAATAATGTATAAATCAAACCATAAATGACTCATAAATGCTCAATTGCTCATCCAACAATATGTAGCTACCCTTCCACATTACTCCCTATAAAACAATACACATTTGAGGACTAAATGTGTATTGAATCAGAATACTCGTATGGCTGCATAAGAAGGGGGAACAAGCTGGACCAAGGTATGAGTTTTGTTCAATTAAGTTGTTCTTGCTAACACGACTAACATATAATCTTTTGTTTAGTGTTTCATTCTGGAGAACAAGGTCATTGGGCCAAATCATGCACCTATAAACACATTCCTTGTACAGAGGGTTGCCCAAATAACATAGAGCTATACACATCTCAACAATCAAGAAGTTAAGGATGCACATTCTTAAGATGCAGAGGTCAACCCCAATGTAAAGCATTCAAATGGGTAGATTTACCAAAACAGAAAGAAGTAGCAAGAGATGTACCAACCAAGGCTGTAACTGGCCGAACCATTCCTAAGCCGGACCTCTGAGTGTGCTAAAAAAACAACCTGTAAATAGCCGCATCGGTGGCTCCCAACAGCATGAGCCCTTCCTGATAGCTCATTAGATGTGCATTGAGGTCTCCTACCCCGTTGTAAGTTAGGCCTTTCGGGGGCCTACAATCCCTCAGAATTTAAGCACTCATGATCTCCCTTGTGAAGGGAGAGGTTATCCCAACACGGGCTTGCGGTGGTGGTGTTTTGTTCATCTGCTGGGTCAACTAAGCAATTTGTCTCCTCATGACGACCAGTTCTTCCTCTAGTGCCGTTCAGGGTGGTGTTCTTAAATCCATAACCTCCGGGGTCCATTCTGGCCGGGGCGCCGTTACTCCTGAGCGCCTTCGTATGAAACGCTCCCCATCTCCTTCCACATATTGGAACATCTGGCCCACAAGATTTACCACAGGAGTAGGTTCCCTGGAATGAGCTCCGTGCCTGGGCACGAACAGAGTATGATCAACGGGGGTGCGCTGCCTATGTCGGGGGGTATGGGCCCTCCTGTGGTCCCCCCTGTTTGCCCGTGAGTGGACTGAAGATCGGCTGATCTTTGTATCGTCAGTGTGCTCTTCGGATGATTGCATATATAGGACGGATCGAGGAAGGGGTTGTGTACTCTGTCTCAGAGGTGTAGCTGGGGTGCCCCCCATCCTGCTCATCTGCCATTTGGCGCATTGCATCCGCCTGTTCTCTCATCGGCCGGGGGTCCCCTTTTGCTGCTTCGAGGATCAGGTGCTCGACATCCCCGCCATACCCCAGAGACCCTCTACCACTGGTTTGTCCCTGAGTGGACTAGTTCCCGGGTGTTCTACTACCCCCTTCCCTCCGAAGGTGCCATGATTATGTTCCGATGTGATTCTGACCATGTTGACTAATTGAATCTTGCTTAGACAGTAGATTGTTTGGGATTTTAGTTCAAGGTTCCCACAGACGGCGCCAATGTTGAGGTTTAATCCCGTAGATCCGAAAGCCCAACACAAACTTTGGGATATTAAGGACGATTTACCGTCAAAATGATTAAGGAATAAGCTAAACTTATCATGCACTCAACAACTCGCTTGTATTAAGGCAATAATGCAATATTACTGGTTACAAGTAAATGGCCGAACGACACTTCGCCTTCTGATGCTAATACAAAAGCTAGTAAGAATATATGCTTCTGAGTATCAAAATGCTAACCTTTTACAATGGGGTAAATGTTCCTATTTATACTAAAATGAGGTAGGTGGGGGATGATGTGGCCGAATCTGGTTGGTTGCTTTCCCTGCCACTTGTGCGTCCATGCCTCCACTTAAAACCACCATTCTCTAGCATTAAATGCAACCTGCAAGTTGCCAGTCTTCCTTATCGGTCCTTAGATCCATCACGTTATTGGGCACGAATGAAGTACATAATTTTTGTCTAAGTATGGAACATGGGCCGTTCAGGACAGACCCGAACAGCCCCTCCACTAACAGCTCATATCTCGTTCAGGATCTTATGAATTGCTGAGTTACCCTTGGGCTTGCTCTCTCATTCTGGGCCCGCACGCTATTTTGGACCGGGTATTGGGCCGAACCCCAATATCCCAACAAATACATTGTTTGGTTAGGTGTTTATTTTAACTTTAAATTGAATCCAAACCCTTTACATTGCTTGGTTGAAAAATACTCCCTCTGTCACGCAATGATTGTCCCATTTTACCTTTTCGGTCCGTCCCACTAAGATTGTCTCATACCTTATTTGGTAAAATTTGTGTGGTTTTAAATCATTCTTTATTCTCACTTTATCAATTCAATATCAACCACATAAACTCACTTTTATTAATAACCGTGCCACCTTCTCTTGTCCCAAACTTAGGGGGACAGAAGTAATATAACTTTACAAAAGTCTACCAAAAACCCAAGTCGCCTAAAGTTTTCCTAAAAAAGAAATTATATAGAATCATAACTATACCCAAATGATTAATTGAGAAAACGATTAATTTACATAGATGAAAAGATTCTTAGGGGGCATTTGTTAAGGTGTAAATTAAACACTTTGCATGCAAAATTTAGGGATGTAAACTATTTACACCATTTGATTTAATTTTTTAAAATAATATATACTTCGTATTACACTTTTTAAAACATTTTTCATTGTACCGTGTAAACTATTTTACGTGGGGAGGGTGCTAAAATAGTTTACACCTGTATTATAAAACACGTTCGTCTGCTGTTTATGTTTCTTGCCCTACTCTATTTGGGGGCAAAAATAAAAAAGATGGTGCTAATTCCATCTTCCGCAGCAAGTAAAAGTACAAGAGATCTGCTCTCACAAATTCCATCTTTCCGCACCAAGTGTAAGCAAATCTCCTCTCAAGCCAGGTAAAAAATTTAGCCTTCTTGTTTTTTTATTCATGTTTATTTGGAATCAAAATTTTACTGACCTGATGATTTAATTGGCACACGATTGACTGTAATTCCTTGCATCTAGAGCTGCTTTTAACTCGGCATACAATTTCCAGATTAATCCTTTATCTAAATTTGGGTACGGTTTTATCATTTTTATTACAATCACAAATTACAATTTCTCTCGTATGTCTCGGACTACTATAAAAATTGAACAAACATTGGGTTCTAAAGTCAGTTTTGATATAAGATTATACAAGTATATATCATGAATGTTATCCAAATTACACAGCAACCTTATTAGAGGAAATGATACAATTATTTAAAAAAATTGACTATGCTCCTTGGGGTTAAAGCTATCTTTCCTGCATCCATAGACATCGCAGTATGCTTGCATGATCTGAAGCACCACCAGCAAGGCCAAAAAAATATAAAGCAGATACTTCATACCGAGGACACAAGGTTTCCTCATAACCTCAATTGCATACTTAATCTCCTTCTCCACCGATCTTTGGACCCTTTTCCATGTCTTCCCCTTCTTCTTCTCCCATTCCTCCACCATGGCCTTCACCTGGTTCTTCACCTCCTTGCTTGCAGACACTCTCTCTGACTTCCCCACACATTTTTCAATCCCATTGAAGATTTCAACCACTTCTCCATCACCTAACACATTTCCCATTATGATTCCCCTTTCTCGCAGCATTGCCACGTCTTTTGGCGTCTGAAGTAAGTTAGCCATGAGGACAACATACTCAGCAAGCTCTAAGGTGGTTTCTTTTGTGGTAGCAACAGCAGCTTCATAGGCGACTAAGTTTCTTAACACAACATCAGAATCATATTTGAAATGGATAGGAGGGAGGTAAAGAGCTGGTTTCTTAGCCTCCTCAACATCTAACCTGATACCCATTATCCCTACTCCTTCCAAAACCCGAAAGTCCACCCCGTGTTTCTCGGACAGCTCCGAAGCCGAAGGGAGGCAGATATGGCTTATAACTGCTCCTGCTTTTTGTGTCGCTTTAATGTTCGCTTCCTGTTCCTTGTTCCTTCGCCCGGAAACAATCTCTTTAGCCAGGGTGCTGTTCTCTATCACTTGTATGGCCTTGAAACCAAACAGAAGTGGCTTAATCAAGGGCCCTCCCAGTCCTAGCTCATTCAAAGCCGTTAACAGCTCTGTTCCAGCGTCAATGATGACTGATTCTTTGGCAAAAATCCCTTCTAGTTTGTAAGGATTGACATGAAGGACGAGATAATACATGTGCTCAAGGAGGTGAGCACTCTTACCGCGTATATTGTCCCACAGACTCGACACCTCGAGCGGAGAGTGGGCTTTGCAGAAGTAGTAGAAGAGTTGGGAGTACAACATGTTTTCTGTGACACTCTCTTCTAGAGGAATAAGTGTTGGCAATCGCCCTTTCATCTTCTTCGCAGGGGCGATTGCGGGAACTTCGTTCTCCATCATGTTAACATCTTTGGCACTCTTTACTGGAGAAAACAGCTCTAGCTCTTTCCCCATCTCCTCAAGGGCGATCGCGGGAATTTGGTTCTCCATCATGATAACATCTTTGGCCAGCGCTTTACGGAACGGTTCGAGATTTGCAGCGTCTGTGTTCTTGTCATAGGCACCAAGGAAATCAATCAAGAAGAAAGAATCAAGGTGGGTGATGTACTCTAAGGTTTCACCTTCAAGATCCAAGTACTTGTCATAGTGGGATCGAACCACGGGCTCAATGTCCTTCATCTTTTTCGAGGAGAAAAACGGAGTCTTGAGTAACTGTTGGGAGTTTTTCTGGAATTTCTTGATCATGGTAAGCTTTTGCGTATGGGATGAATGGAGATCAGGCCTGAGATGATGGTATGGTCCCAGACCAAGTAGGCGTGGAGTGTAGGCTTCTGGGGCAGTTTCTTTCAAGGATTGGGGCACTTGAAAGATTGTTGGAGTGAAATCAATCTCTATTATGTGTTCTGAGTCTAAGGTCCTGGGACCTTGGCTGATCCATCTCCCTTCATCAATGGGTGGACTGAAGACTGCTGATGATATGGCTGTTGTTGGCATGCTTGTTAGATCAGAAAATCTAGTAGTGTCTTTTTTTTGTGCTTCTTAGAATTGATGGAGTTTAATTTCTTGGTGCTATTTGGGACGTGTGTAGAAGTAAGTTTATAGCCCATTTCCGCTGCATTATATTTTTGTTGCCGAATTAGCTTGTAGCGGAATGGATACCAAAGCTAAAGAAATGATATTGGAATTGATTCCGAGTGTAGAGGTCTATCCGAGTGTATACTGTATAGTACTGTCCAGTGTAGTGAAAGCAACTGATTTTAACCATAATCCGTGCGACCCTTCTAATTAATTTTCAAGTACAACGTAGGCTCTTATACTTCGTACTACGTATATACGAAGTATTACACACATCAGATCAATTTGCACAAATAATATACATCGGGGTTTCAAGTAAAATTAGACCTGGTAATTTAAAGGGAAAACTGTCAAATAGGTCCTCAAACTTTCATAAAAAGGTCAATTAAGTCCTTCTATAGGAGGTTTTGTCCGGCCGTCACGATTTGGGGCAGTTCCCGGTGGAATTTTTCGATAAATTTTTTTGAGCATCTTATTCACCAAGTCTAGTTTACTCATACCAAATTTCAGCTAAAAATTCAATCGGGAACACATTCAAATTAATTCTTGAAGATAACTGCTCATTTTTGCGTTCTCGAATTAATTTGAAAGCGCTCTCAATTAAATTTTTAGCTGAAATTTGGTATGAGTAAACTAGACTTGATGAATAAGATGCTCAAAAAATTTCATCAAAAAATTGCACCGGGAACCGCCCCAAATCGCGACGACCGGACAGAGTCTCCTATAGAAGGACTTAATTGACTTTTTTATGAAAGTTCGAGGACCTATTTGACAGTTTTCCCTAATTTAAATTATTAGTATCAAATATACTCCTTAGTTTTTCAACCAAGTAATATACACTTTGCCGAGTTTGACCGGCATGAGGATTAATAACGTAAAAACTGTGTGATTGAGGTTTGTATAGAGGATAAAGAATTAATTGGAACCACAAATTCTTTACTTAAAAGTAACAAAGTTAGTGGAACATCTAAAAAGGGAAAGTTTACAAAGTTTTAAACAATGAGGGAGTATATCCATATGTAGAGAGAAATTATATTAACAATCGGCATGCCCAAAATTCCATTTGGTGACCCTCTTTTAAGGCTTGTCATTTTTATCAGCTAATTTTTTCATCAAACACGTAATGTTTTATTTCGTGCACTGGATTTTGTAATAATAAGAAAAAATAAGGTTGAAGTTACTTTCCTAGCTGTATTGGATGAAGTTACTGTAGAGGATCATTTTAGCTATTTTGTCATATAAATTTTCTTTATTTAATTAATAAAATATATTTTAAATATTATTTTTCTTAAATTAACAGAATCAGCTAGCCAATCTAGCCACTTCATCCAGAGCTTAATAAATTTCAGCAAAATCAGTCAATCCAGCCGATTTGAGTACTACCAAACGGGTTCTAAATTTTGTTCGAGTATATACAACGCTAGAGAAACTTGTGCATTTTTAATCCATGAGATATGGCGTAAAAGGTATAACATCTCATTTTTAGTCGAAGTATCACATGCCAATACGTCCATTAACTCATACGGAGTAAATGATTTCTCACTATTTGACTAAAAAATAAAGAGAATTTACCCTAAATAGGATTAAAAACGTTTGTAAATACCAAAATGGGACTGTCATGTTTTTAATTCCCAAAATGAGACTAATTACTGTCATGTTTTGGCAGTACCAGACTTTAAACATAACAGTATTTTCCAAACTTGACAGTAATTACTCCTATTTTGGCAATAAAAACATGACAGTCCTATTTTGGAATTTACAAACGTTTTTGGTCTCATTTTAGGAACTTTCCCAAAAATAAAACATTCATTTAGAAAAATCATAAGCTTATATCCAATACCAATAGCACATCTCTACTCAAATTCAAAATACAAGAATGGACATGATGTAAATATTGATTTTATAACCATTTGACATTTGAGTTTACTATCTTTCAAAAGGAAGACAATCGGGATAGATTTATCAATAATCTTTCTAACATAAACAACACATAACAAAACCAAGCATTTCAGGCTCTAGCCCAACTGTGTGTGAGGTTACCGTGTCTAGTAGGAGGTATATCTCGATTTCGAAACCCGCTAAGCACATAAGAGTTTGAAACTCAATGAAGTGAGTTTCAGCCATGATTATTCCAGGCTCCCCCAGCCCCCAGACCCACTGGAGTAAAAAAACAAAAACAAAAAAAAAATAACTCCAAGCTCAATCATGTGCATGGAGGAACGCTAACTACCACATACCGAGTATAATAGAATTGTCTTAGGAGTATCCACAATATGAATTTTAATAGAGTTTAGAATTACATCAAAATCTGGGTTTCCTCAATTTAGATTTCCATGAAAGCTATTAAAATACATATTCTCAAACGTTTCATAGATTTTACTTGTTATTTATTTTCATGGATTTTGAAAGACTTGAATAGACTTTAACCCAAAAAAATTGAATAACTAAACCCACCAACAATATTACCAGCACGGCAGCACCACGCACTAATCGACTTGTGTTCTTCAAAACCATCTGCCAAGCTCTCCTTCAATCAAACTTTGCTACTAGCTTCATTTGAACTGGTGAATGAAATCTTTCTTCAATTTGTTTGAGCTGTATATGAACGTGTATGGACTAGTGCATGTATTCATTTCATCTTTCTTCCATATTCTTTTTGGTCCTGAATTCTTTGAATGAAAATTACTAAAGATATAAGCTGAAGTGATGGAGTAATAGGTTGTTGTGCAAAATGTAAAATCTTGGCACGCATTAGTTCTGTGTTTCACTGTTTGACAAGCTTGAAGGAAGGCTTCATAGGAATGCATAAGAGGAATTAGGTGAGCTCTTTTCTAAGCATGAATATCATAATTGATTTTGTTTTCCACAAAAGAGATGTAAACACGATCATTGAATTATAGCAATACAGATTATTTGTATCTATACTTCTATACTATATATAAAAAGAGGTGGAAAACAGTCCAATTTTCCCTCTCAAAAATGTCACTATCATGGTCGATAGTCGGTCAACCCAAAGATTTAGTTGTGTAGTGCGCTAGAAGCTAATATAGGGTCACGGGTGTTCTGTTGAAATCTGTGTTGCTTGCGCGTTGTCCAGTCGCACAGAATCACCTATGATACTCTTGGTTTTATATCCACCCAGATGTATACATTTTACACTCCGGGTAAAAACAAAAAATATACTCCATATTAATGCCCTCGCAGGATTAAAACCAGGCACTCGCCTGAATTGAGAGGACTCCAACGGAAGAATTCCAGGTTGACCACCAAGTGCAGACTGTGCAGAACGAGAAAATATATTGGCCGGCAAAGATGGAGCCGGAGGAAGTGGAGGTTGCGGAAGCATAGCCCGGGGAATAGAGGGGGTCGGTGTCCACGTGAATGGATCCGACGTGTTGAATAAAGTAAGGGACGATTCCGGCGGACTGAAGGAATTCACCATCGATGATGATGGCGGCATAACTGGATTGACTGCAGGCTGCTCCAGCATGCTAGAGGTGGGCGCCATGTATTAGACAGTCGGAGAAGAGATATTAGTAGTAGCAGGGGTGGAGACAGGGAGGGGCTGGAGGGGGCCACGGCTCTTGCAAGAAAAAAATTATGTATAAATACTTTTAATCTATAGAAAATATGTTAATATTTTAAACTTTGGCCCCTGAGATGTAAAATTTTTAAAGACCGGCCCCTTGAACAATAGATTTCTGGCTCCGCCACTGAGTAGTAGTGATCATGGTAGAGAAAGCGGTCCAGCCCAGCTGGTCGCCCACTCACTCTCCTTTATTATGGGAGTTCCCATGTTCAATTATTAATGGAGTGAGATTGATCTCAGTTTACCGCAAGCCCCCCAAACCCCCTCCTCTAACGCCCCTGGGTAAAACAACAACAAAAAAAGTGATCATGGTGGACTGCACAATGGTCTGCGGCTGAGAGGCAGGCGACATGGTTGCTACAACAGAGGAAGTCGGGCGGAAGTCATAATAAAAAATAGAGAATTACAAGAGTATCCTTAAATAGTTCTATTGGCTTGATGTTATGGCCAATTTCATTTAGATTTGGCATAGAGGAGGCAAAGTATCTAGCGATTGACCGTAGCAGTGTAATGAGACTACTTGTGAGTCATGACTAGGTGTGGCCCTGGGCTTCTGATGTCAAGGTACGGCCAACAGATTCTTCAACTACTTTCCTTTACATCGTTACATTCATATTGAAAAATTAATACGGAGTATTTATTTGTTGAAATCTTGAGAGCATAGAAGAAGTTAAGGTGTTTATGTGTATGTTATCGCTATTTAAATTAAAAAAATTAGAGACTATTTTTCTGATTCTTTAAGAGGCAGTTAGAAAAAATTGAAACTAAAGAATCAATTTGTACCAAGAGGTCGTTCAAGTGGCTTGGATATTCATTTGTAATTTTAAAACAAAAAAAAAGGAGAAAATATTCCAAGTATAAGAAATTACAAAGACGTCATACATATAAAGATTCATATTGATTAGTCAATTTGTTGTTTGGAAATAGTCAAGGGGCTGTCAGGCAATCTAGGAAAGCCAATGACGCTTCAAGCAAGAGTTAGGATCATGGCCAATAAAATGGGAGTCCAGCAAGCCAAGGGGTTGTCCAGTCACAAGGTAAGACTAATGAAAGATTCTTAAGTCTTTAAGATTCTTTTAAAGTAAAAACCACCTTAAATCCCTATGCAATTTCAACTCTGAATCTATATGTTTTTTAGATGTGATAGATAGTGTGTGTCTGTGTATACAGTAGTACATTGCGCACTTTTTATGGTGATTGTGTGGTGTATTTATTGTCATCAGTAATTCCCTTGCTACATAATAGCAGTACATTCCCTTGCTACATAATAGCAGTACATTGCTGAAAAATGATTTCCCTCCGAATTTGTGAATTGGTTTGGAATCATAAATTTCTCATGTTATCTTAGCTTTGGTGATATACGTTTGTGTTATTTTAATGTGGCGTTGCCTTTAGAAAACTTTTGGCCTAGACGGTAAAAGTCTTAAGTATTTCTACAATTATACTCATGAATATTTGTGAATATTTGTTTTAACAAACCTCCGGTAAACTTTTATAAATCATCTGGTGTTGATTAGTAAGTTTAGTAGTTTAGTTTCACCATAAATACCAATCATGAGTAGAATGAATATGACCTATACTTTGATACCTGTTTGCACCCATTTTGCACCTCCAACTAGATCTTTGTTAACATCTTTTCACTATATAAAGGTCATATTTAGTCTAACAATCTAAGGTTTCATAGTAGTGTGTTATGATTGTTCACTAAGTTTTTCTAATACTATTATGGCATTGGAAAGGAACAGAATTTTGAGGGATAAATTAGTTCGTTGCAGGTTGTCTATACATTTGGTGATATAAACTATAAAGTAGTTACAATTTATTTTTTTTATCGATAAATTTTTATATACATCAATTTTTTATATGTTGGTATGTAATAGAAATATTTTACTTTTTGCTATATCGTCAGATTCTTAGTGAAAAAATAATAGCTAATGCATTTGTCATAGAGCATGTTTCGCATGAGTTCTTTGATAGAGTTTGCTAGCTAATTATGTTGATTTGTCTAAATGGAAAAGCATTTTGTTAAACCCATTTGTAAAAAGCAGGTTAGATACACATAACTTTCCATCTTCAATTGTCTCATCTTATTTATCAAGCTTATTGATAGAATATATAATTGGTAGTATATATATTTGGTAGCTTATATTATTGGTAGGATATATGTACTTTCCTTTCTTGTAATTACCTTTGTAATCATGTATCTACGGTATAAATAAAGCCTTCTTGTTCTAATATTGTCACATGGTATCAGTCTGATTTCTCCTAACCTTCTTGTTCTAATGGCCGATTCTGAGTGTCTTCTTCCCTTTGCCACTCTTGTCCATATGATTACCATAAAATTAACCTATTCCATTTTTTTTTAATCCCAATGCACACCATCCGAGGATGGGGTAGGGACTGGGGAACACCCTACCTATTTATTAATAAGGAAAGATACATAATAGGAGGACATAATGCCGAGCCTACCAAGAAAAATATTAGATTACATACGGATAACTAATAGCATCAAATTTGAGAATGCCTACAAAATGATTAAAGTGATTTTGTGATCTTTTTATCTAGATCTTATTGTAGGCGATGTAGTCTGCTGCTCTATTGACACCCGGATCAATATATGAAAATGTGAAGCGATGACCGTTGTAGAGTCTTCGAATTAGACAGATATGTGTCCAATGGGTCCAGTGATGTAAACTTTCTCCACGTATAGCATTACAAACCTGTATATTATCCAGTGATGACGCGGACTTCACATTTCCAGTCTTTTTCAACATGAAAGATCACATTGTATATGTGAAACAGAGGCCACATCTTAGGTCATTTCTGGAGAGAGTTGCAGATATGTTTGAAATTGTAATATTCACAGCAAGTCAAAGCATTTATGCAAAACAGCTACTGGACATACTGGATCCTGACGGAAAATATATTTCAAGGCGAGCTTATCGTGAATCATGCATCTTTTCCGATGGTAGCTACACTAAAGACTTGACAGTGTTGGGCGTTGATCTTGCGAAAGTTGTAATAATTGATAATTCCCCACAGGTTTTCAGGTTACAAGTGAACAATGGCATTCCTATTAAGAGTTGGTTTGATGACCCTTTTGATTCTGCACTAATTTCACTTCTGCCATTTCTTGAGACATTGGCAAATGCAGATGATGTTCGTCCTATCATTGCTGAGAAATTTGGTAACAAGGAATAAGAGTTACGCTCGCAGATCCTTTAACAGATCCTTGTCTTTTCCGTCCTTTTAAAAACATTTAGGTGCTACCTGTATATTATCAAGTTCAATAATAAAATTGGTTTGGATTAATGTTTCGAAGAGAGGTCTAAAGTAGATAATGGCCTTATAGAGAGCACACGTAAGGTCCAAGTTCTGCAAAGTGTGTGCGGCGTGCCCTTTATAGTTGCCATTATTATCTCGAAAAATCAAACCAGTCCTAACAAAGTTCATATGGACAGGCCGAGAAGCAATATTCACTTTAATATAATTATAGTTGGGCTTGATCCAATGACAAAGGTGGGTAGTGTTTAATTTAGGGGTATTCTTAGTAAGGAGGTGGATATTGTATGGTGAGGGGGAGGTAGTCTTCAGGGGCCTGGCAACCGAGGTTAGATAGAGATCTTTCCTTATAAGAGTGATAGCCTCAGTGCTAGTGATAATTCTATCATCATAAAGTAAAGTGTTACGAATTTTCCAAAGATTCCAAATAATGATATTAGGAACTAAAAAGTTTAAATCTTTGATCGGTCCTTTAAAGTCAAAATACCAATGATTAATGTACTCATTGATGCCGCCATTTTGATTTTTATGGAAATGAAAAAGGACTTCAAAATGCCTCCAAACATTTACCGCGGTGGCACAGTGAAGGAAGAAGTGATCCATAGTGTCAACGTTATTACAGAGCACACATTTGAAGGGACCAAGGATCCCGAAGGATTGGAGTTTATTTTCAAAAGGCAGCAACTTGTTGAACATTTTCTAGAGGAAAAAAGAGATCTTGAGGGGAATTTTAGAGTTCCAAATAAATTTAGAATTTGGCATATTATTCATTTTAGGGCGGATTACATCATAGGCACTCTTAAAAGAAAAAGAACCTTTCCTATTAGGTTGCCAGACAAGGGAGTCCTTAATATATGTAAAGATGGGGGCATGTTTATTAATGAAATCAGTGTAGTACCTGGGAATCTTGTCAGCCAATGCAGCGATAAGAAGATTGTTTTGAAAGGCCTGTCTAACAGTAGTATCGGGGAAGGGGGGGTCAATATCAATTATGTCAATAAGCTTACCTTTGCCCGTCCAGTTGTCAAACCAGAAACAAGCCGATCCATCATTGATTGTAATAGCAATGTTATCATTAAAGGTGTCTTGGACAGAATTGACGGCATTCCAGAAAATCGAAAGATGAGGTTTTTTCAGGGAATTAACCCACTTGGCCCAAAGGCTAGAGTTGGTTTTAAGTTTCCAGTTAAGCTTTAGCAGAAAGGTTAATTGGATATGTTGGAGGGACCGAAAGCCAAGACCATTTTCCTCTTTAGGAAAACAAACTTTAGACCATTTCCGCCAAACGTGTCTATTATGAGTAGGAGTTTTATCCCATAAAAAAGAAGAGCATTTTTTCTCAATATCATTTAAGATAGAAAGAGGGATTTTGGCAGTGGCCATATGGTATAGGGGAAGGGAAGACAGGACATGCTTAATCAAAATCATCCTCCCACCAACCGATAGGAGGTTATGCTTCCAACCTGAGAGCTTATTATCGACCTTATCAAGAATGTGTTCAAAGTACACCCTTTTAGTTCTACCCTTAAAGATATTCGCACCTAAGTACATAAAGGGAAAAGAGCCTTGGGGGATTTTAAAAATACTTTTAATCAGCATATGAGAGGAAGCTGTAGCATGTTTGGAGATAATGTAGAAGCTTTTTTCAGTGCTAATACGTTGTCCCGAGTAGTGTTCAAAATCAGTGATGGTTTTACGCAACAGAGTAATGGTTTTTTTATTACCGTTAGAAAAGACAATCAAGTCATCGGCATAAGAGAGATGGGTGATTAAAGGTACACCCATGTGAGAGCTATAACCTGTTATGTTTTTGTAGGAAAACATATTGTTTAAATGATGAGTAAGAACCTGGTTGATAATAATAAATAAAATGGGGGAGAGAGGATCACCCTGTTTGACACCCCTTGAGGGTTTGAAAAAACCATGAGGGTTTCCATTAAGAATAATAGAATACCACGTAGCGTACAGATTGTTTAAAATCAGATCAATAAAACGCGGGTGAAAACCAAATTTACCTAGAGCATGTTTAATGAAATTCCAAGAGCATCTGTCAAAGGCTTTAATCATATCAAATTTGAATCAAGTTAAAACTTTGCTTGAATCACAGGGCCTGTTTGGTTACATCGATGGCTCTATTCCTCAACCATCTATCTCCCGTACTCCCACCTGGCCACCTCTCATGAAGAGAAGCTTCTCACTGTGTGGAAAGCTCAGGACAACGCCTGGTTTCTCTCCTATTGTCCTCTCTTACGGAAGAATCCATGATTGAAACACTTGGATGTGCCACTACTGCCCAGGTCTGGAAAGCTCTCGCCTCTGCTTTCAGTTTAACCTCTAAATCTCGGGAAATTCAACTCCGTGACGAATTGCAGCAGCTTTGTCGAGGTTCACGGTCAGTTACCGAGTATGGAAAACTATTTCACGCTTACTGCGAACAACCAGCAGCGATTGGATCTCCTGTTTCTCACGTTGATAAAATTCACTGGTTCTGTCATGGTTTGGGACCCTCGTTCTCTAGTTTCTCCCTTACGTAGCTCAAACTTGATCCCTTGCCTGCTCTTCGTGATGTTATCTCTGAAGTAGCTAGAGAGTCATGCTTTATTGCAGAAGTTTTTGGATGAGCCTATTAATACATCTGCAGTTGCTTTCGCTGCACAATCCCAACCTTCTCCATCTCTGTCTGCTTTTTGTGGCCCTCGTATATCTCATCCGGTGAAGCATTCATTGCCCCAAACTTCATCCCATACTCATTCCTCTGGTCAGCCGCCAGCGGTTCTCTTCTCAATCACGCCGACCTCGCCGCCCATTTGTGCCCCGTTGTCAAACCTGCAAAGTTGAAGGTCACTATGCCAATGATTGTCCAGAAATGTTTGTTCGTTCAGCCTCTTCCCCTAATGCTCACTTAGTCGAAGCTTTCAATGTTGTTTCTCTTAAAGCGGCCGAGTCTTCTGATTGGTACGTTGATTCTGGTGCCTCCTCGCACATGACAGCAAATTAGTCTATTCTGGATCATACAACTCCATATACCGGTAAGGCGGTAATTCTCATGTATCGGTTAGTAATGGTGCTACTTTGCCTATTTCTCATATTGGACAATCATCTCTATCTCATGATCTTGTGTTGCATGACGTTCTTGTTGTTCCTCATATTGCCAAGAACTTACTCTCTATGAGCAAACTCACTCATCATGATTTACCTGTTGTTGTTTTATTTGATGATGCTACATTTACTATTCAGCACAAGATCACCAAAGAGATCGTGAGCCGGGGAAGGCGTAGCGGAGGCTTATATGTGCTGGACAACGCTCACAAAGCTCTTATAGGCTACTTGCGGTCTCACAAACTTACTGCCTCCTTTGAATTATGGCATTCTCGCCTTGGTCATGTTTCTGTTGATACTATTAAGCTATTGAATAAATTGGGTCATTTGCATGTAACATCGGTTTTACCGAAACCTATTAGTTGTTGTTCATGCCAAATGGCTAAGAGTACCCATCTTCCCTTTTCTGCTAATGATAATCGTTCTTTGTATTTGTTGGATTTGGTACATTGTGATTTATGGGGACTGACGTGTACTTTGTCGTGATGTGCACTCAAAATAATAATACAATACGACACAAATACGTAGTATAGTGTAGTAAGGTTCGTATCCACAGGGAAAGGAACACTCTTCTTTTTATATAAATAAGAAATAATAACAGGGGGGTTTTATGTTTGGTTGATGAACTTAAATTGTCTTTAAACACGAAGATGAACGAGTTATGTGGTTTAATTAATAAGAAGGAGACTTGGCTTTGCTTTTATCCACTTAATGAAATGTTTGTCGATCCCGGTTATATTTTTAACTATCTTCCTCTCGAATACTCAATCGAGGAGTATATTCAGTTCATCGAGGGTAGTTATTAATAACGAGAAGCGTTCATTAATAAAACTTACTACCGAGTCAATATAGAACAAGCGCCGTATATTAACTTGATAGTAGCAATAAAATCAAGATGAAAACGATTGAGATTGATAACCTCAACACAAGCGGTTTATTGGTTTAATCAATATAATTAATTCCCCTTGGCTTATTAACCATGAGAAGCATGCATTAACAACCCAAGTTTACTACCGTAAAAGGACCGAATTAATAACAAGCGTATTAACCGACCGATTCTAGTAATAATTAATATATGAGACAAAACTAGTTGATCCTTTAAGTAATGTTCAAAATATTAATATGAAATATGAATAGGAATTAATTAATACTCAAGGAAGAATATTAAAGAAGATGAATCCTACTATTGTTAATATCAAGATGTTAACTAATTGTCATTTTAGTAACACTCCCCAATATTAACATAGAGGAAGAAATAGCTATTACTATAACTAATGTCAAGATGTTAACTAATTGTCATCTTAGTAACACTCCCCAACATTGATATAGAAATAGTATTTAAAGGGAGAATTAATATTCAAGGAAGAAGATTAAAGAAAATAACTCACAACTTACAAATTCATTAAGCTTCAAAGTAGCAAAACCAAGATGGAAGAGTTTAGCTCCTCATTTGGAGACTAAACATGATAGAAAATATAAAGAAACCACTAATCTAAACTGAGCTAAAGAGTATATGTGAATTGGTTTTTCTAAAGTGAAGGAAAGGAGGTGTATTTATAGGCTTTTTGAGGTGCAGGTCGAGTACTCGATCGAGTATGTACATATACTCGATCGAGTATGTGTAGAACTTTGAATTCGATCCATACTCGATCGATTTTTGGCTTAAAAATCAAAGGTGTACTCGATCGAGTATATATTCATACTCGGCCGAGTATGCGTAGAAAGTGATATTCGAGCCATACTCGACCGAATTCGGGTTTAAACTCAAAGGCATACTCGATCGGGTATGTCGGTCTACTCGATCGAGTATAGACACTGAATCGTGGTCAAAATCTTCCCGGCATGTTCCTTTGTCTTCGGATCCGATCTGATTTGAAGTTTCAACCT